TTCTGCAGCCAGCATAGAGCTGAAAAGAATCCTGAAGTGAACTCAGAGCAATGATGTGTGAGACCTGCTATAACAAACGCTGGTTTCCTTTGAATTCCTAAGAGTGGGTTGCAAATAGTATTAAAGTCTGCTGTGTAAATGAACCAGGTATGCTGATGTGCATTGCTTAAAATCTATCCTCAGGTTAGCATTTTTGCCCTGTAGACTGTGCTTCCTACACAGAACATGCTGGTTTGTGTTGTGCTGATCAGTGATGTTCAGTGCATCGTGGTTTCACGTAGTGACAATCTAGGGCTTCAGGTGAGCACATCAGGCTTTGGTTGAGCTTCTGTATGTGCCCAAAGGCAAAATATAGTCTGTTACACTCTCATGCCAAGACATTTGTAGTAGATTTCTCATAGTGAAATGAAGGAAGTGCTGGCTCTACCTCTTGTCTGTCTCATATCATTATTGGGAAAAACACACGCTGGAGTTGAGATCCTTTTCCATTGAAAGAGCTATGTTTTTAGATGAGCTTGAGAAACACTCTGTACCTTTCTGCTTACATCCTGTCTGCACCCATCATTCTCTGCAAAGGGAAGGCTGTACCTTTTTAGGAGGGAAGTTAATGCAACAGAATTCCCACCTGAAAGAGCCAAGGCATTTGCTTTAGTGAGAAGCCTTTTTGCATCCTGGCAGCCTGGCAAGGAAACTGTGTCCATAAATTTGCCATCACTAGCAGTTTACTGTGACCTCTGCATTTCTTCTGTTGTTAGGGAACAGCCAGGCACTCTGGAAGCTGGAGTTGCAGTCTATCTATAGAAGAGATGTCACACGTGTGCAAGTTCACACGCACTTGGTGCCCTTCACCTGCGTTTTCTAGCCCTGTGGCTACCATGGGCCTCAGTGGGAAGTTCAGCCTCTGGGTGCACTTCAGCCTTAGGTTCTGTTGCTGCACCTGCAAAATGAGACCTTCATTAGTGTTAATTGCAACAGCAGTTAAGTAGGAACTGGAGGAACAGGCTTGAGGGCAATCCAGAAGGTAGCAACGGCCTGGGATGTGGAGTGGCTGGTGCACATCTGCTGGCAAGAGCCCCATATCACTGGGAGAAGAGCTGCCTCTTTCCCTGGCTTAGCACTAGCTCCTCATTATCATTTCAAAGGCAACAGACTCCTCCACACACGCTTCACAGAGGCAGGGGAGTTTATTACAGCAACTTTTCCTTCCCTTTGCCTGCCTCTGTTCCTACTTCCCAAGCTGGGGTTTGAGTGTGGGGTTTGAGTAAGCCCCAAAACACACCATGAAGGCAGACAGTGGGTGACTGTCATACCCATATCCTCAGAGCTTTCAAGTAAATCTCAGCTTCCCTTCAGCTGAGTGCACCGGGGAAGCGTGGAGGTGGATGTGACAACCTTACAAGCTGTTTCCAGCTGTGTTTTCTTCTATTGGGTTGGCAGGATAATGGGTGACAAACGGGAAGAGACACCGCTCCTTCCAGAGCCCCAATTGCACAACAAATTAAAATGCTCCCTGAGGGCACAGTTGCTCCCTCTCCAATCAATACATGTAAAACCAGAGACAGCCTCCATGGATTTCAGAGCAAGCTACAGCTTCTGTCACTGGTGCTCAGACTGGAGACTGTACTTTGGGTAATAATTGTCAGGGGCCAGTCTGTGCTCATCAAGGTGGGGATGCTCATTTATGTGCAGTAAAACCCCAGGGGACTGGAAGCTACTCCCTACTTGGTCCATGAAAGCTCAAACCCGCTGCATTCTATAGGAACCAGCAACAATCCTCACTGTTGGCTTTACAAAAGCTTTTTATATACATAATGTCCTCAGAGAGCTATTTAGTTCTACCAAAATGAACTTAAAGTTTGTTCTTCCACATCTTGTTGTTCTGTTATCATATCTGGGAGCTAAGTGTTCCACAGTTGCCATAATTCCACCCTGTAAATAGCCCTGTACTTCCTTTGAACGATGAAGCACAGCTGGTAGAGCTTGAGAGCACCTGGAGCACACTCCTGGAGTTGGATCATTCATCCCATTTTAACATAAGGGTCTGATTTAGGTTCCTTCTGATGCTACCTACATCAGTTAGAGGGAAAATAGCATGGCTGTTTGAACTTGGATCAGTGCATCCTAAATCGCAGTGCCTATGTAGAATCCCATCCCAACCACTGAGAGAGCTTGGAAAAGCAATCTTTCTGTGTTTCCTTGTTCACATCCTAGCTAAGAGTATACCCAAACTGTGTGTACTTCCATTCTGTGTTACATCTGCCCTTCTGTAGCAAGCTCACGTCTGGAGTCCTCTAACGTACTTCAAACTTGTGCAGCCACTGACAGCTTTTGAAGCACTGCAGCAAGGGCAGGTTGGTGTCACTGCCCCACTGAGGTATGGATTCCAGCTGGAAAACTCTTTCCAGGTCTGGATTGCCTTTAATTGGTACCAATTGGAAAATGTAATGGCTGCCCCATCCCTGGCAGTGTTCAAGGCCAGGTTGGACGGGGCTTGGAGCAACCTGCTCTAGTGGAAGGTGTCGCTGCCCGTAGCAGGGGGTTGGAGCTGGATGAGCTTTACGGTCCCTTCCAACCATAGAACCATTCTATGTTCTATGAACCATTCTATGGTTCTATGAAATACTATATGTAGCAATGTGCTAGTTTACAGTGTATGAATAAGGGCACAAAAGTCTACCAAGATGCACTCGTATGCACCCATGTAGAAGGTACTGTCTGGTGATTAAATAAGTGGCTCCTCAAAGGCCTTTAAGGTTGATTGAAGTAGGTACCTTCAAAGTACCCTCTTTTATGGCCTTTGCTGGGCTCTGTATGTTGTCACAGACAGCAATTACAGCACCCTAATGCATTTAGGATGTGTGCAATCCCAATCTCCAAACCATCATCTGGGCAGAGGTGTAATCTGCACAGCGCTGTAATTGCATCATGTAGGAGCAGAGCTGTAGCAAAGAGGAGTGCCAAAATTATATGCCTGACAAATGCCATTAGGGAAGAGGGCTTTCTTCCCAGCTGGATAATACGTGTGAGATGTTGGGAATCAGGGATTTCTGCAGCCTCACAGAGCGGTGGGAGCTTGGAAAACCCACATTCCGCTTCAAACCCTCCCTGTACCCCCCTTGTGTCAGGGTTGATGGGGAACCGGTGGAAGGACACGGTGCCAGCAGATGGCAGTGCCTGTTAGCAGTCTCAAAACGGGAACGTGGTTTTATTTGCCTTGCATGAAGCTCAGTGCCCCCCCCCTCCACCTCCATCTAAGGGCTGGCAACTGGGTTCCCAGTTGAAGCGCACTGGATAAGTGCATGTGGGAGCAGGGAAGGAAGGCTTCTCCTAAAGCTGGCTCTGCCACACAGGCTTTGCAGAGCCTCTGTTCCAGGCTGGACAGCTTTTCCTAGCACAGAAGTTCTTTCTAAACCTCATTAAATGACACAAAATGAACAAAGAAGCAGAGCTGATGCCTTTCAGAAGGTGACACTTTCTGTAATGCTGATGAAGCATCACCCAAGCACTCATCTGAGTGCCCATGTTATGGTTCTGGGGTGACTGACTCTCCTGCTGTGTGAATTAATGCTTAGTACTTTTGAGTCTGAACGCTTATTAAAAACCCCCAAATCCAAACTGTGAATGTACTCCCCAAATAACTCTTCCATAAGGATAATTCATGTATCATTACCCCGAAAAGTAAAATAAATACCACTGAAAAGAGCGTTTCTAGCAGTTCTGAGCATACAGAAGATCTGATGTGCTTTCATAGGATTTAATGAACAGTATACTGCTTTGTCTTTTAGTTTCATTGAAAATAGCTTCACTGCTGATGTGAATTCAGTTCTCTGTGCTGTTCACAACCTAGATAGGGTATCGCTGTCCTGATGCATGTGGAACAGGAGCCAGACTTGGCTGGTTGGATCTCACTGCCCATACTGTGGCAAAGTGGGAAATACAAGTTAAGCCAAATTACAGCTGCAAAACTGATTTTTAATGGCCCAAGTCCTTGGTCTGATTCCAGATTCCTGTCCCAGATCCAACCTCCATGTACAGAGAACAAGAGCCCTGGTGAAAAGCACCGTGTGTATAGAGGTGTGCGAAGAGATTGATTCTTAACAAAGAGCAGTATGACTATGAATGGTATGTAGAGCTGTGGCTATTTCCCTTTCTTTAGTGTGCCTGCCTTTGCATTGTACCAGCCTAGCTTCCATAAAATCCAGTTTTATTTATCCTAGGTTGAGGATGGTTATGAATCAGATCCTCCCATCTCCAGGAAGTTCCACCAGTTCAATTTGTTTCCTGATCCACACTGAAAACGCTAATAATAAGTTGCAAACTGTCCATACAGTCAAATGAAGATGTCATTCCAATGCTGACATGTTCCATTAGCAATAGGATAATTTAAAAACCCTAAGAGATGAAAGTTTTTCAAAGCAGAACATGGGAAAAGAAGCTTTCAGGTTCCAGCAATGCTGACCCATCCCTGGGCAGTGCTCTGGTTGTGACAAGTTCTCCTTTCCTGATCAGCTTCTCTGTGAAAGCATTTCTGATGGACTGTAATGTGTGGGGTGGAACAGAGAATTGGGGGGGGGACAGACAGGACACAAAGCCTGAAGGGAATCTGCCGTCACCAGGCAGATTTGTCTTGTATTTGCAGCTGACCTGACATTTGCTTTTCAGAAGAGGGAATATTTTACCAAGCACGGGACACAGCAGGGTATTATCCATGATTAAAAAAGGGAGAGAAAAGAGAGAGACAAAATATACAGCCAGAGCTTTGAGAGCATTCCCTGGAAGTAGCTGATCCCAGGCAAACAGCACCCTCAGTCAGCAAACACCATTCCAGCAGCTCCATGGTTGACAGGCCAGGGAAAGGTGCCAGAGGAATCACGCTCTCCCTCTTTCTCTTCCCAAATTCCTTGCTCCAGCCTGGAGGGGTTTCCACACATACGTGCACGTCCTCCTTAAATGCGCAGCTTCTGTGTTCTCCTTATTCTCCCTCTTTTTGTGGGTTTTAGGACCTGCTTTCTGTTTGTGTGATTTTAAAAGAACCTCCCCCTCCCTTAAGAAACCGAAAGCCCAATCCTGGGGTGGAGAACCCGGGAACCAGGGAAGGGAGAGCCGAGAAGAGATGGGAAGGCACGGGAGGAGAGGTAAATCACAGCTCTTGGGGAGCGGGCAGAGCGCACAGCCCAGGGCAGGAATACGCCTTTCCCCCGCCCCAGCCAGCCCGTTCAGTGCAAAACAGCGCTTTAAACCCCTCCCCTCTTCGCTTTCACTCCCGGCCCCTTTCCCTTCGCTGCTCATTCAGGAGAGACGATGCTCCCCATCACACTGAGTCCTCTTCTCTGCTCCCCCTCTTCCCCAGCCCTTTGAAAAGCTTTCCACTCGCAGGAATTTGTATGGGAGAGAGCGGGAGCAGGGAAAGGCAGCGTTTGCCAGGCAAAAAGTAGGGCTGCAGCAGTTGAGGTGAGGGTTTGGAGCACCCTTCTGCTCTGACAGAGCAAGGGAAACCAGGAGCACCGAGGGACAGGGGCGTGGGCATTGAAGCCTTCAGTGCCACATAAATGCTTCCTAAACACAGGCAGAGGGAAGGAGGAAGGAGGCAGCCCCGGGACCAGAAGACGACCGCAGCTCTCTGGTGATGGCATGGATCAGGCGCTGGTGTACCTACCTCTCAGTCCTGCCACCGTCCATCATCCCCCAGGTACCCAGGCACAAGACTGATGCGGAGCTGCTCCTAGCAAGTAAGTTACCTGATTTCTGATTCTTTTTCCAGTTCACTTCTACTCTGACTTCTTCTCCTGCCCAGGAGGCAGCAAGACAAGCAGCTGAGGTGCTCGTTGAGCTGAACCCCAGGTTTCTGTGCCCAAACCTGCCAGAGTGTGAGCTAGAGGTGTGCTGTAACTCACTCGCTGCTAGAGAACTCTTTGGGAAGCCAGAGATTAGATGTTGATTTTAGGGGGGGAAAGCACTGTGAAATCTTAAAGGTGTTGTGCAGGAAAAGGCACTGAAAATGATTAACTGCTCAGATACCAAATTAGTGGAGATTAGTGGAATACAATGGGCAGGGGGGAGACGATCAGAAGCAGCCCTGAAATGTGTGGAGTGACTCCATAATCCTCACCTGGAGTCAAAGATTCAATTAATGTATAATTAGGATACTTACTAATCAGCTTAGTGTTTAAAGAGCCCTTTGATTTAATACACTGGGAATCCCTGGGGGTGTTTGTAGCTCTGGGAGGTAAAAGTGTGACTTACTGTTTTACTGCTGTCTGCTCACTGATCAAAAAGGTGCCCAGAGTCGTCCTTTTTGTATCAGCACATAGTGGCTGGGAGTAACATGCAAACTTTTGTGTGTCATGCGGCTTTGACCTAAGAGTTTCAGGAACCGATTGAGAATTGGCAGAAACTTGTGTTCCACAAAGCTTAGGATCTGATTTGGGGGATTCTGTAATCGAGCAGGTCCTTCTTCCTGCACCCTTTTAAGTAGGCAGCTACACTGGATTGGTAGTAGAATAGCTTGGACGGCAACAGAAATGGTTTCTCTTGCTAGTGCAGTCCAAGCAAGCAATATCTTCTATAATAGATGAGAAGTGTGTCTGGTAGTGTTTGTGTTGGGGGAGTTATTCACCTTTGGGGTTCAGTTCTTTCTCCCACTGTTCCTACTCAGTTGGAGTTAAAGGATCAGGATCATTTCAGTTTCCCCATCTCTGGAAGGTTCCAGCCCAGTTATGAAAAAAGAAACAGAGTTTTGGAGTCTTGTTCCAAGACAAATCTCTGGACTCTTTTTACATGAGAATCACCCACTTTCTGTTCAGTTTGAGGCTGGCAGAGCTGCTTGGACATTTGGGCTGAGCACTGGCACTTAGCCGGCAGTTTGGTATTAGGCAGGCCAGTTTGTCTCTCTATGACTCATCTTTTGTCTGCACAATGGGTTCAATAGCACGGCCTTGGGGCAGAAGGAGCCTGTATTTGGTCAGTTCATTTTGAACTCTTTGGATGCAATTAGTGGAGAAGTACGAAGTCGTGTTAAGGTCCTTCATTCCCAGTTATTGTGATGGTGAAATATCTAAATGGTGGAGAACAGGAATGCGAGTGCTCTTGGGGCAGGATTTTCTCTTAGAATAGATGTTCTACTTTCCCCAATGCTCAGTATGTGCTGTCCGTAATGAGCCAATAGCTGGAGAACCGGGAGTGTCTTATCAGGCCAGAAGTGTCCCTTTGTCTTTGGTCGGTTGTGTTGGTTGAAAGATAGCGGTCACATTCTCAATGATGCCATAAGGTCCCCCTATAAATAGTAAAGGGTAAGAGGACAGAGAGAGAGGCTGCAGAGTGCCTCAGGCAGGCTCTTCCTTGGGGCTGCAAGGATCAAACTGGCATATTTTTGGGCTTATTTGTTGGGAAAGTTATTATATCAAAATCAGGGAAACCACCAGGAGCATGATATTGTGATTGCATCCTTTGCACATGGGCTTTTCGTGCTCAGCTCCTTTAATCACTCAAGTATAAGGTAATTGGCTGGAAGCTGTATGGATTATATCCTCCCATCTGCCCTTTGCATCTGAATTGTGCTATATCAAGTAGTAGATACCTGTTATAGTGTGGAAACTCCATGTTCCCCAGTCCTTGTTCTATGACTGATTGTTATAGCCTATAAACGGGGATCATTATGATGTTTCATAAGGCATTTTCTAGTTTTCACCTTGTTTTCTGGGGAAAAACCCCACAACCCACCCCAGTTTCTATTCTCACTCCAGTTTAGTTTCTCCACTCTTTTCTGCATTGGTCTGAAATCAATCTATTTAATGAAACTGCAAACTTGTGCGGTGTATGGGATTTTTTTTATACTTTAATCCATAGTAGTGGTGGGGAAAATCAATTTGAAACCTGTAGCTACTTGAGAGAACAGAAACATTATTTCTTGGTGTTAGAAATTGTCTTATTGGGTTATTCCTGCTGATAGATCAGGCTGTGCAGGCTTCTTGGAGTGATCTTTAGGCACTAATGAAGCAGACAGGGACTGTTCATTGCTGCTGGCTTGGTGGAAGGGGATTTACAGGCACTCATTTGGGATTTTGGAAACTCTAGGTTTAATTCCCTGCCCCACCACAGACTCCCAGTGTGAGCATGGAATGTGCAAGTCCCTGTCTTGAGATATGGGCAACAGAGCACTTCTTTGCTTCACAGATCTCAACAAGTAAAATGTTAAGGCATGTGATACCTGTGTTAAACACTGAAATACTGGGATACTCCAGGAATGGGACAGCCACATGAAAGGACTTGGGGATCATAGAGCTGTGATTGTCCAGAAGGGTAAACTGGGAGGGTATTAGCAGATAAAAGTAAAGCATAAATGTTCATGTTGTCTGTCTTTGTGTTGGAGTCCTTTGAAAGCCTAAACACCTTCTGGTTTGGTATTTCATAGCCTAATGAATGCTAAGCAGAGAGGCACCATCATCAGCCACACGTGTACTTGGTGGGCATCTCCTCTAGCCCCACAGAAATCCCCTGGTACAGTCATACCTGTCAGTGTGTTAGAAAAGCAGTGCTGTGACTGAACACAAAGAGGAAATTAGAGGGAGAAATCTTCCTTGCTTCAGTGCTGAGTGAGATTACACTTTGAAAAGCAGTTATTTGGATGAGGAAGGTTTTGAGCCACATGTTCATTAGCCAAGTGCCAGGAGTCTTCCTTCTTGTGCAGCTTCCTTGGGTTTGAATAAGTGTAGCTTTTCTCCATCATTCCTTCCACCAATAGATCTCCAAGCACTTTCCAAAGAGGCAGACCCCCCCATCTCTATTCATAAGTCAGAAGTGGAAAGATTACATGATTTGCACAAAATCTACCTGCTTTTCTTTTCCTTGCATGCCTCAAAGGGTGGCCTCATGTTGCATTGTTGAGTCTCAGTTGTACACAGGCAGTAAATAAAAGGATAGTGGGAAAGACATCTTTCTCAGGGAAATCAGAGCTCCTCTGTCAGTCACCATTTATCTACAGTTTTAAAGGCCATCTATTCTTAGTATTCCTTCTTCCTCCATCTTTCTACTAGCACTCTGTTCAGCGATCAATGCCTTTATTCTCAACTGGGTGCTACTGCTTTAATTTGCTCTCTTCCTCTCCCAGCTTTCCCATGTTGCTAGTGTCTGTCATTAAGAGTTTCATTCCCTTGCAGCAGTGTAAAGCAAAGGAGAATATGTGCCCCAGAGGAACCTGGGGACCGTAGCTGAGGCTCTGCTTTTATGGGGAGTAGGGCAACAGGCAGCGAAAGAACCAGGTCAGATTTTTCAGTAATGAGCTCTTGAATTTTACTGCTGTATTGACTGCTTGTTGAGCAGTATAGGGCTCTTTGGCTGGGAAAAGGGATGACAATTAAACAGAATCCAGATTTGGGAGGTTTACTGAAGAACAGTTGCTCATTTATTCTCGGCATGCAAGAAAACACGAGCGTCGGGTTTAAAACAAACAGAAAGATGTACTTTTTTCACACAAACTTGATGACAAATTCATGTCTTCAAGGTCCTGCCTGCCAGTTCAGACCTCTCGGGAAGCAAATCCTGTCCCCACTGAAACGTGCCGTTTCCTTAAGCAAGATCAGTGCTTATTTAAATTGAAAAAGTCACCACGGTCAGCAGGGGGGGAAGTTCCTTTCAGGCTTCTCTTGTTTTCTTTTCTTGCAAAGTCTTCATCAATTTTCTATTGTGAAGACTTGGAGCTATCAGAGCTCCATCAGCTCTGCAGAACAATGCCTCCTGAAGACACTTAGCTAAGCCCAGCCTTACTCTTCTTCAGCACATCCAAGAGCCCTAAATGTCACCACCTGCCCCACTTCTGTTGTCTGGGCAGAAGCTGAGCAACAGCAAGTCTGGTAAAAAGCCTCTCTGTGAGGCTGATAATACAGTGCCTCGCATCTCCTTTTGCAGTAGCCTGTCCAAAGGGAAAGCAGCTTTGTACAAAAGTGACATTTTTATTATCCTGGCCTCTTTAAACCAGAGATGCCAAAGAAACAGGAGGGTGCATGGAACGATTAGAGGCAATTTCACCTCTCGGGTCTCTTTGCTGGAGGGAGCAGTGATTTACAAACTGGAGTCTGAATCTGTGGGAGATGCTCACAGAGTAATTGCTGTTATCTGGAAGCGATGTGTGTGCTCGATAGCAGTGGCAGCCTATTATCTGAGGAAGGAGTTAACCAAATCCTCGCACAGGTGCAGCACTCCTTTTATAGTATCTTGCTATTTGGGTTAATGTTTCCCAAAGCAGTTGAAACAATAAGGGAAGGACAGCAAATTTCCTAGAAGATTTGTGTGCCTTGGATCTTACAGACCTCATATCCATAGGTGGGGAATTAAGGCTCACAATTAGAGAGAAAATACTGGAATCATTTGGAACAGAAAGCTGGTGATCTGCAGACACCTAACCTGCTCTCAAACTGCTGACCAGTGTTATTCCTCTTAACAAATCCAATGCCAAGGTTCATCTGCTGAATTATGTCCAAAACCCACGTGCTGAGGTGATGCTTCTACAAGGATGGGAGAGCTGAGGATTAAGTATAAGGAGCAATCATAATGCCACCGAGGCTGTCAGTAAAGTTCATCTACAGCAGGAATTGTTCTGCTTTACTGGAGCACTTGTTAGATGTTCCTGGAGCTTTCTGGAAAGATTTCACTTGACCTATTGTTAAAGATCAGCAGCATTAGGAAAGTGATGTTGCTGGTCCCTTGGGTGTTCTAGTCTAAGCAGGTTTCCCTGTGCTTTCATTAATGTCAACTGTTTCACCACAGTGATATTTCTAGGGATTTAGCCTTTTTGATTTTGTATTATGTTCTGCTCTTTTTAATACCATTCTAGATCCTTTTGGCCTCTTTGGTATGAATCAAATACAGGAAACCTTCCACTGTAGATTAACCTCTTGAAATTGATGGTGCTCTCTTTTATAGTGTCAGTGTAAGTGAAACTCAGCCGCAGATAAAACTTCTGCAACAAAACTCTCTTTAAAGCAACTGTTTTGAAATTAGAAATGTGCAACACTTGCCTGGTTTTGCATTTCCGCACATATATTCATCGAAAGCTTTTTTAGTCCAAACAGAGTAATTTTAGATTAGTCAAACAATGCTGACAAGGATCAAAAGTAATACTGGTAAGAAGAAAGCAAAAGAGTTCATCTCTATACCTAATTCTCTCTAAATCGGTGCATAGGATGCTTCTTTTCCTATTAAAGAGGTGAGGACAAAAGCATTTGATTGTTCTGACATGCACTTGGCATATGCATTTGCATGTTGTGAAGCAAGACCCAGTGTGTACCCTTAGAATCTGAGGCTGGTTTGTGTTGGAAGGGACCTTAAAGCTTATCCATGGGCAGGGACACCTTCCACTAGAGCAGGTTGCTTCAAGTGCTGTCCAGCCTGGCCTTGAACACTGCCAGGGATGGGGCAGCCACATTGGCAGCATCAAACAGATGCTTTGCACACAGAGACACACAGTAAGGCAGCAGAGAGCCAGACCAATGGTCCAGGCATGCTGGATTTGCAACAAGTAGTAGAAAATGGCTGAAGATGTATCTAAATATACCATGAGCAGCTCTCAGGAGTCCTGCCTTCAGAGGGAAAGAAATAGAGGTAGGGATTAATATTCTACCCAAATCCCAGATGTCACTGAGGAAGAGAGCAGCACAGTCCTGGGGTACCTATCCCACATTGAGGATCATGTGCAGGGGGGAAGCAAACCTGATTCCTCCTAATTTACCATCCCAGCATCATTAATCCTTATTATTTACCCCTTCCTGTGGCTGCACTGGCTCAGCCCTGTCTCAAACTCTTCCAACATGGCACATGTGCCAGACGGAGCAGCTTTGGGACTGTGCTGTGGACAGATGGCTGGGCTCCCTGGTGAACAGAGCCAGCGGGTATGGTTCCAGCAACAGGCTTCATTGCAGTAATGATTGATGGTGACTTATACAAGGGCTAAGAGTAATTCTTTGCTGTTAACCAGACTTGGCTACAGCAGAATGGAAGTGGAAATTTGTTGCTTCATTTATTCATCCTGCCTCTGCTTCCTTCCCACCCACCCTTTGTGCTTTTTAATACCAAAAAGATGAAACTACTTTGCTCGGTCTTAAAATTGTCTTTGCCAAGATACCCTTAATTGTGTCTCTACACCTTTTCTCATTCACAGGCACATAAGAAGATTAAAGATAGAGGGAGCAGTAATAGATTTAGTTGGGTTTTAATAGGATTTGCAAGGACAATGCAGAGAATGAGCACCATAGAAAATACTGCTACTCTCTCTTTGATACCCCTAAGGCTTCTTTAGGTAGGCTTTCACAGAGATCTTTGTCTGTGCCCTGCATTCAGAGTCAGGACTCGTTTTTCAATAGAGCATATGTGGAGTATCTAATCATCTTGGTAAACAGGATGTCACATTATAACCTGCAAAAAACATTGCAGCCATCATTTTGTGTTACTTCTTTGTATCTTATGGGGCAGTTTTGCATGTCAGCAGTGGGCTTTTGAATAGCTGCTTGTTACATTACTGAAAGTGTTTGTGTCTCATGTCAAATAAGTAAAGGGGTGGGTTCTGATCTAGCTGATTAACTGGATTCATCACACCCTCAGACATGGAATTCAAGATGCTAAATGAAATGCCTGTTTCACTTTTGGAGCCAGGAGAATTTGGAGGAGGGGGTGGGTGCTTCCAGAAGGTGATTCATCATTCCTGAAATCTGAATTATCCATGGAGGTGTCTTTATTATCCATGGAGGTGTCTTTCTCTGCTGACTGTTGGGGAAGCCTTCATGCATAATTTAGACTTCAGTGAGATGTAGGTAAGACAGTGGTGCTCAGCGTTTTCTGTTCATTTCTAAGGTTTTTCTTGGTGTGCACCCAAACCCTGAGGCATCAGAAACCTCTAGACAAGTTGCTGTATCTTCACTTTGCTCCTAGTTGAGCTCTTCAGCAAACTTTGGTTGTAAAATAAATCTGAGGGCAAAAAAAACAAACACCCCCAAAATCCCTTTAACAAGATTTCCCCATCTCATGACTCCCAGCCTGTGCCCATCACCATGGCTTCTGAGGTTCCAGTAGTGCATTAAGCAAAGCAACAGCAGGTTCATGTTTGAAGAGGCTGTGTGTTATGAATCAGTATTTAACATCCAGTTTGATGCAGCGTTGCCTTTCACAAGTGGCTATTGAGAGAGAAGTGCTGAAGCCTTCCAAAGTGTTTCTGGAGGAAAGACAGTCCCAGAAAAAAGCTTTCCTGATGTGGAGTCAACCTCTAACCCAGCATGGGGCAAAGTCTGTCAGTGTAGCATTAAGATTTGCTATATTTGTTGTCATAATGGTTCAGACAGTAAAACAAGCTGGGTTTTGTTTCAGGTGTTTTCCTCCTATCTCAACCTTCATTTCTCTGTTCTCCTGCAGCACAGCCATGGCCGGAGATTCTAGGATCTTCATGAACCAGGACATGGACATCGGAGTTACATCCAGAGAGCCTAAGAAGATTCCCAAGCAGGCTCGGGATGATGTCCCCATTGCCACCGACCGAACCCGCCTCATATCAGCAGAGGGTAAGAAGCCACGCCAGCGTTACATGGAGAAAAGTGGCAAGTGCAACGTGCACCATGGCAATGTCCAAGAAACCTACCGGTACCTTAGTGACCTTTTCACTACGCTGGTGGACCTCAAGTGGCGTTTTAATCTGCTTGTGTTCACCATGGTCTATACCATCACCTGGTTGTTTTTTGGGTTCATATGGTGGCTCATCGCCTATATCCGGGGAGACCTCGACCATCTTGAAGATGAGAACTGGATCCCCTGTGTTGAAAATCTCAGTGGATTTGTTTCTGCTTTTCTGTTTTCTATTGAGACTGAGACAACAATTGGGTATGGCTATAGGGTCATAACAGAGAAGTGCCCAGAGGGCATCATACTGCTCCTGATCCAGGCTATTCTGGGCTCCATTGTCAATGCGTTCATGGTGGGGTGCATGTTTGTCAAGATCAGCCAACCAAAGAAGAGGGCTGAAACCCTCATGTTTTCTAACAATGCCGTGATTTCCATGAGGGATGAGAAACTCTGTCTCATGTTCCGTGTTGGAGACCTCCGCAACTCCCACATTGTCGAGGCTTCCATTAGAGCCAAACTGATTAAATCCAAACAGACCAAAGAAGGAGAGTTTATCCCCTTGAACCAAACGGACATCAACGTGGGATTTGACACTGGAGATGACAGATTGTTCCTGGTGTCACCTCTTATCATCTCACATGAAATCAATGAGAAAAGCCCCTTCTGGGAGATGTCCCGCACCCAGCTGGAGAAGGAGGAGTTTGAAATTGTGGTCATCCTGGAAGGAATGGTGGAAGCAACAGGTAAGAACATGTCCGGTCACAGTTTTGAGAGGGGAAGGGGAAAAAACGGATGCATTTTGGCCCTAATATTTTAATGTCAGTGTCACCTGCACTGAGAACATGTTGGGATTTGTTCTTCTCTAGTGACAACTTAGGTGGGATATTGTGCTCTGAGATAACCAGCAGTTAAAAGATGGGTCCTTTAGCTCATGTTGTAGTGTTTCACTCTTTGTAAGTCCAGGATTCAGATGAAGGGATTGGTCCATGATCATTTAGAGATGATCCACAGGGAAAAAAGGAATGGACAAAAGGAATTAATGCTGCCTACTGTGCTCTTGTTTCCTGTGATCAAAATTCATGGTGCAAACCTTTTTCCATTTCTTCTCTGTATTAAAAATTGGCTGTAACTGTGCTATTTCAGGTATTACTGTAGTGCTGCTTTTTAATGGAGGCAATGAAGGAAGTGGCCAGGTATTACTATACCCCATAAACCAGTATGTGCTGAAATCAAATGACTTGCATATGATGCAGGACATTCATTTTCAAAAGCAGCTTAAAGAGGAAAATAGAAACTATTTTTGTGACTCTTGCAATCTAGCAGCTTAAAACAATGTATTGTAATGGGTAGATTTGGAAATCTAGTCAGTTGATTCCCAGTTTCCTCTTATTGGGGTATTTGTGGCAGGCAATGAAAGAAGTCTGTGTCTGTATATAATAGATCTGGGAAAGCTGTATGCCTTAGCTTTCCAAGGTGTAGTAAAGCAAACATGTACCTTGAGCTGAGAGTGGATGGCTACAACAGCCTCCAGGCTTCTGGCCACAGGTGGGATGCAGTAGATCTCTGAGGGGTCTTCACAGGGAGGAAGATGCTTTTGCTCTGGACATGGCACCATGGGGTCATTTTACCACTTGCAGCTAATTCATTTATTCTGGCTTTTGAGGAAGAGCCAGATTCTGGGCCCTTGCTTACTATTAATGCTCTTCCCTTCTTGAGATTTGTCCTCATTAGTCTCCTAACAGCCAGATGTAAGCGGAAATATTCTCTTCAGTTCTTGCATCTCAGCCCTTTGCTCTTAAAGACTTTGCTCTGGAGAGCTAATTCTGTTTCCCAGTATCTCCTTTCAGTCATTAGGTGAATAGCAGTAGCTGACTTTTCCAAACAGAGCTAATGGGATGTTATGTGTGGGTTGCACTGTACCCAGGTTGGAGTACTGTGTTGCAGGAGTGGAATTCATTTGGCATTACTAGGCAAATATTCTTTCCCAGCAGAGTATTGTAGAGCTGTGGCAAAAGAAGGGGTGGGTGGAAAAGACTATCAAAGGCAAAGATTTGCAATGGTAGTTTATTTTGTAGCCTAAACATTTACTAGATACTAGAACCTCCTAATCTGAGCATGGAATGCAGTTCCTTGTTTGTGCAAAGCCTCTTTCCTCATCACACAGTGACACTATCAAATGCTGTTTGAACAGCTACTGCATTGCCTTCCTCTTCTGAAAGCTCAGCTTCTGCTCGATCTGTGTGAGAGGAAGTCATTACCAATAACAACCTCAAAATTAAAAGCATGGCATAGGAATAATACTGCTTTACAAATGGGCTCCTCTCCCAGAGGGATTGTACAGGCCAGTGCGTAATGGTATTAAGAAGCAGACATCTGTGAAAATGAATTATTCTCATCTCAGAAAACAAGCTGTGAAATTCCGAAACTGGGGCTAGAAAAGCCAGTTTGACTTGAACTTAGTGCAGCCTGGACCTCAGATGATGCTGTTGTTTGATTCAAAGTCTGAGATGGGGGTTTTCTGCATGACATGCAGTAACTGGGGAGGGGGGTGATTCTTTGCAACAGTGTTTGTGCTTCCCTGCTTTGTCCTCACACTTTGTAATACTGATCAAGCAGTTTGGGGGATATTAATCCCTATCTCCATACCTCCAAATTTGCTCCAATCAAGTTCTTTGGGTTCTTTCGTTCCTATTGTATTGTTCAAGTCCCATTTGCTTTCAGGAATGGTATCATTTACTTGCAGCATGACTTCTATGAAATCATGATGCCGTTATAGCCTGGTCAGGCTCAGGGCAGTGTAAAAATGCATGAGACCATTTGTTCCCTTAGTAACCCCTATGAAAAGGGAGGACCCAGCATCCTAGTGCTGGGGTAAATACAGTTCTGTTTATTCATAAGGTATTTTGAAAGCACATCAAAAAGGCAATTGGCAATGTTCAAACGACTGAAGAATATAACTTTACCCAATAGCTTTAACCAACCACACACATATTAAACCACCTCTCCAACCACCACCTCTTCTTACTGACATTGAAGCTTAATTCTGATCCAGTAGAAGGCAACAATGATAAATAGTTTCAAATGAAAAGCCTGGAATAACCTGACACTTGAAGCCATTGGAGTTCATTTACAGAATGAAACACTGTGGTTTGAAACAATGTTTTTATTTTCAAGTTGAATTTCCAAAACACTTCCACTTGTTTGTTTTGTGTCTTAAACCCATGGGTTTGTTTTCAAGTTGACTTGGATTTTAATAGAAACATACAAGAAACACCCTGTTTGCAAAGAAGAGGATACAGATTCTGTTAGTGCAGTGAGAGCTCTTTAGGGACCCCCTAACTAACCCCCAGAGCAGCAGAAAGCCACGGACACAGGGCTTTCCAGTCAGTATTTGAGTATGGTTGAGGCACTGTGATTCCACAGGAGGTTAAAATATGCCAAAGGGAGACTTAAGTTTCTGGGCCGATCTGTTGTGATCATTGCTGACCACTGTAAAGGCAAAATCAATACAGATGACAAGTGCTCTGACTTCCAGGGCTGCTTCATGGGCAATTTGGAAAGCAGCAGCATCACTCACAGTGCTGCCTTAATGAATTGGTCACAGGAATTACTTTAGGGAATTAATTCTCTTTTGCCTTATCTGAAAGGGACACTTGTCAAGATCAGCCTTGTGACGTGACCTGCAATAAAAGGGAAGAAAGCAAAGGTGGAAAAAATGTGCTTGCGAAAGGAATGCGGTTTTGCTTTCACTGTCTTTCTGCTTCTCGTAGTGACACAATAGGTCTCGGCTGTTGCTGGCCAGACCTCTTTCCCTTACCCTTCTGGTCATAAACCAGGCTGTTGGATCACAGAAGAGCAGTGGAGATTCTTGATTTACCAGTCACTCTCCTACAAACCTCACTGCTGCATCTACAGTGTCCAGCATTGCTATTGTCTGGGCACAGAGACACCAGTGCTTGTTACTCTTGGTTCTCACTGGTTTTCATTAACCTCTTTTCCTCAGCACCATTAAATAAGCCACGAGACACTTCAGGTGCCCAATTAGTCCAGTCACTAAATGGTATTTTAATAAACTCTTAGGAAAGGAGAGGTGTATATATTTCTGGCTTAGAATCTGTGTGATTAAAAAGTGGTTTAATGATTAGAAATCATTTATCTTGTGCTGTCCCTGTGAGAGCGTAGGCAAACAGTGGCTTTTTTTCACCTCAATTTATCCATCTTTACAGAGGACATAGTAAAATTTCCTGGCTGTAAATATAGGAGCAAAAGAAGCAGCATAAGATATCCTAAAATCAATCATCATTTTTGTGAGAGAACAAAGGAGGGGTGAAATGATGAACCAGACTTTTCAGGCATTCATCATCTGGTTTGGGTTGTCTGCTTGGTTTGTTTTGCATTTTGCATATAAATAAGTTTTCTTTTCTGCAAGAAGGACCTTACAGAACTGTTACAGAAACTGCTTATGCAATTATAGGGAAGAGAGGGACATCTTGAGTCATTCTTTTCATTAGCTGAATCATCCTCCAGAGGTAGATGTTGGCAGAGTAGTCACAATAAATACCTTTGTGAGGGGCCTAAAGGTGTGAGCTTGGTGCTCTGTCCCTAGGAGAGACATGGCAACATAATCAAAGATCTTTAAATCATAAGGCCCTCTTTTTCTCTTCTCCATCTCCAGTGCCTGAGAGCTTTCCCATGCCTGGAGAGCATTCAGATAAATTAAAATCCTATTACTTTCCTCTTGCATAAAAATCAAAGTGAATCAAGCCCAGACTTGTCCCCCTCGGAAGGAGACAAGCACAAATAATTGGAGGACCGTGCTCCTACCTTCTAATATTCCTTTTCAAGTTGGAGGAGTATGGACTTTGTGGAGGTTACAGTGTTCTTTGGTTAAATGAACACATTTTAGAGCCACCCAGATGCTGATCTAAAGTCATGATATTGCTTAAGTGGAGCAATAGAACATTACATTTTTATAACTACTCCTTGCCATCCTGACTTAGATCAGCCTGTCACTGTACCTCTGAGTCCATCCCTTCTTTCTCTATACCCTTGTAGTGTAGGTGGAGTATGTATTATGCAGCGTTAGTGCACCCAGTGCAAGGGGAAAAGTCACCCTGTGTGCAGCAATGGATGAAAACAAGGACAGCGAAGTGAAATCACTCCCAGCAATATCTGTGTCTGAACTGCACAGAGCCCAGCAAATCTGGCAAGCACACAGTCAGCGTCCACATGACATTTTGCCAGCAGATAATCACTGAGCTCTGTGGCATTTAAATGAGGAGAGTTAATTTTAGGCTGATGAAAAATGTTGTCTTGACAGCCCCAGGGGTTGGGATATCTCTCCCCACTGAGGAAGTTCAGGCCGCGGAGCAGTACTGAAAGATTCAGCTGTGCTGCTGATGTGATCAAACTGAAGCCTGGGGCAATTCTGGATCTGGTTGGTGGATCAGGTTTTGTGGTCTCTTCACCCTCTCCCATTAAAATGCCAGGAAAGGTACTGGCTGAGATGGAATGTTTGATGGAAACAAGCATCCTCCATCTCCTCTCTCTTGGAGAGAGACTGCTGGTTCATGCTGGCTACCCCACCAGCTGCAAAGGCAGTTAGATTTGCCCTGTGATAATGAAGTTTGATTTTAACTGGTAACCTAAGGGCATACAAGACCTGGAAATCGGGAGCAATCCCTAGCAGCGAGCCTCTGCTCCACTTGCATAATCAGTGGCACCGCGAGCACTGAGATGTTCTGAAATCAGCAACTCCCAGCGAGTTGCTGCTCAAAAACCAGGCTCCTCACTGCGAGAGCCATCAAGTAACTGCTTTTTGTCAGCACGCATTAACATTGCTTTGTCTCTGGTAAAATGCAAGCTGCTTGATCCCAACTGATTCTGATGACAGACAGGTGCCTTATTGGTAGCGTTCCCTGACACCTATTTTACACACCAGTCTTGCCTCTGTGACTCTCTGCTCTGGAATGTAATGAAACACCTGGTTTAATACACACAGTAATATATTTGGTATCTTTTCATCTACTGGAAACCAGAAACGAGCCATTTAGGAGGGCATCTATGGCTGCCTTAAGCAGGCACATGCACCAACTCTGTATTGATGTAGTGACTCCAGCCAACAGACAGAAAAATCCATTTCTTGGGATTCTGCTGTAATGAAATTATCATTAAAACTCTATGAAATGTTTATTGAAACCAGGAGACAGTCCTCTGCTCTCCAGCTTTATTGAAATCTTGGTGCATCTGCTTATACCTTTGTATTTCCTGGTTTCAATTCAAATTGAGTTTTGTTTGCAGCCGAAAGCTGAGTAAGAGATGAGAAAGCTCTAACTAAAACTTGAAAGCTGAAGATTTCACATCTTCCACCATTGTACACATTTATATTAAACATACTCTAAACCAGATTGTCACCAAACACTTCTCTCTAACTGTACCAAATATCTGCACCGTTTAAACCCAGAATGTGTAGTTATATTTGCTTCAAGAGAAGAATCAACAGCCTTTATCGAGTACTTTATAAGTACAGTGATGAGTCTTGTAAGAGATTTTGAGCGTTTGAAATCCTCCCTCAGTTTCTTGTGCTCTCAAAGATGTCCAGGTTTCAGGGGTGCTACTGCACCGAGGTACAACAGCAGAAGCAAAGTTGATATGGTGCTCGGTGGATAGGAGCAGATGGAGTAAGGATTCACTACACCCAAGGTCTCCCATGGACCTCGATAAGCAAGGCTTAGGAAATGAGACAGCTGATTTTTGCAGGAAGCTCACAGCCAGATGAGAAAGATCTCAGTTTGGTGAGTTAATCCACCCCACTGCTGGCTCAACCTCAGCTACTGAGAGCAGAGAGGGCGCAGTGCACATTGTCTGCAAGTGGAAAGTGCATCCGTATGCCTTTAATAGAAATAATGTTTATTGTTTCCACATCTCTTCTGTCATCTTTCTGCTGTTAGAGAGGCAACAATTAGCTAGGGACATTAGAGATGCGTTGATTAACCAGGGTGGAAAGCACAGGGCAGCCTGCAAAGCAGGCACTTAATGGAATTTGAAGCAGAGACAATGGTGTTGTTTACTGGGTAGTGTAGGAGTTGCCAAGCAGGATGTCCCCACGCAATTAAAACACCACTGCACATGTGCTAAAAAGGAATATTTGAATGGGATTATGGAGCAATTACAAGTTGTCTTATTGTGCTGGCTCTGTGTACCCCTGGGGTTACAGAAAGCAGCTACTGCAGGGAGCTGGCAGTGTGCACTATTTGGTTGCTGAAAGCTTTCTATCGTTCCTTTCTTAATTGAATACTTACAGCAGGAGATAGCTGTGGTTGTGTCTCTGGAGTTCAGGTTAACTGTCAGGTTCTCCCCCTGGCAAAGAGCTATTTCAGGCCCTAATTATGAAGCAGGAGTTCCCTTAGGATGCCTCAGACCCCCACATCTAGCAGTATCCCCCCATCTCAGCCTTGGAGACCAAGGAGACCTTTCTGCTGCACTTGGAAGGCCATGGTAAGAATCAGCCAGTCCATCCAAGGACCTAATCCTGAGTGTTTTCCTCTCATGCTCTCGTTGCTGGGCTTTAAAAACCTCAGAGCTTGGAGGAGTCCCTTGAAGGCCTTGATTTCTGGTGCAAAACCTGCTCTAAAGGCAAAAGGACAAGTTTAACTGTCTCTTTACCATGCATGTTGCTGGTTATCTGGCATTCTGGCCTCTCGGCATAAGGGAGCAGCAGCAAGTGGGATTAACCCTGCAGCCCTGACCCTCAAAACTGCCTGTAATAAAAGCCTGTGCCCAGGGAGGTCAACAGTGTGTCAGCAACACAGCAGGACTCAGATGTTACCAGACTCCATGAGCTGCTCTTTGCTAGCTGATAAAAGGGAGTGAAGATAAACCACTGTTAATTCAATCCACAGTCCATCAATACATGGAATTCAATACGCTTATGAGCTTGGATGTGTGGCAATACGGGTTTTGGTTCTGCCAACCCCATACAGTTGGGTTAAACCCTCCAGAGGTATTTATAAGCCAGTTTACCATGTAAATCTATAGGAGCTGTGGCCCTCTCCACTCTCTTAACCGAAGTGCAGGAGGGAATCGCTGATGTTGCCCTAGATGCAGAGGGATGGGGTCAGACACAGTGGTGGGGTCATGTGGGTCAGGCTATGCGGTCCCTTGGCAGGGTTGGATGTCATTGTAGCTGTTAGTATCAACCATGCAAGCAACACCTCATCAGAGCAATGTGAGGACAGAGAAGCTGTAATACCAGATTTTAAACTCATAAAGTGTAAGGTTCAGGAAACAGTCTGAAGATGCAGTGATGAATCCATCCCTTTCCCTTTGAGTGCTCAGCTTTGTCATGATAGAGGCTTTTGTGAGGCTTATTAAGCAAAGACCTTTTGTGTGCCCCAGAGCAATCAGGTATGGAGATAACATGGAAGTGCTTTTAAATGAAAGCAGTGGTTGGGTGAGCATGTAAGGAAGCTTTGCATTTAACATCCCTCTGTTTCCACCCAGGGATGACTTGCCAGGCTCGCAGCTCCTACATGGACACCGAGGTGCTGTGGGGACATCGCTTCACTCCCGTCCTCACCCTGGAGAAGGATTTTTATGAAGTCGACTACAACAGCTTCCATAGCACGTATGAGACCAACACTCCTGTGTGCTGTGCCAAAGAGCTGGCTGAGTCTCGCCGGGAAGGGCAGCTCCTCAGCCACCTCTCCAGTGCCACCCTCCTCAGAGAAGCAGAGACAGCAAGAGGGCAGGAAGAAGAAGAGGAAGGTGTCAGGGAGCCAGCAGGATTGAATGGAGCCAATGGGACAGCAGGAGAGGTGAAAGAAGATCTGCTTGTATAACACCTGAACTGCAGGGCAGTAGATACCCACGTACATGTACTGGGAGACTGGTGAGTCAGGAGTTGACTGGGAGTCAGCTGAGATTTATGCGCGAGCTCTGCTGCCTGCTGCTTGATCCTGGCCCATCGCTGCCCAGCACTGTGCCTCAGTTTCCCTCCCCTTTTAGCTGTACAGTGAGCTTTGCACTCGTTTGCAGGACGTTTTGATCTCTATGAATGAGGCTCACTAAATATCATCACTGCTAAATTGAAATTCCCAGTGGTTGTTTCAAAAGATGTGCATTGGACGTTCAGAACTTTCTCCCCTTGAGAGGGTATTTCAGAAGTCCAGAATGTCCCATCTCAGTACGAAGAATGTGGTTTCATACCTTCACTTAATTTGTGAGTCAATGTATTGTAGACATTGTTACTGCTAAATTAAAGGAAGAGGAAAAAAAAAAAAACCTCTCTCTGGTGTGTGGTGTTTTGCTTTCATGAAGTTTGCAAATAGATTTGTAGCATTTTCCTCCAGGATCACAGTCGTTGTGTGACAATGTTCCCACCAACCTTACAGCATGTTCAGCCCATGTTTCTGCCTGTCTTCTCAAAGTGAGGTGCTGTCTTTATGTGCTCTTCTCGTGGAGTTGCTGATGTATTTCATATGCTCTCAGTGGGCAGGGAAAGTTTAGATCTTGCCCCAGTGTAGGTTTCTTCCTGGATGTCCCAGTTTCAGTTTGGGCTGACCATTTAAAACAAAGTAAGTAGCCATCTGGGAGTGTGAAAGTAGCAGTCTGCAAAATTCTCTGCTCTTCTGTGAACTATGTATTTAAAATGAAGGCTTGGGTGCTGATGTTCCCATGGAACACGCACTGACATAACCGAAGCCATGATGAAGAACTGCTGCAGATTTGAACAAGACATTAAAAACATGGCCATGATGTGGAAAATCTCTTCCCTTACCGCCCAAAATCTGGCGGGATATACAAGATACCTGTAGAATTGCTTCTTTATCAAAATAGATTGAGGAATATATAATATGCAAGTTATTTTCCATATAGGAAGTACTCTATATCTGTGAAACAAATGCACACTGTGTTACAGCTGTAAACTAGAGATCTTAAATATGGGTTTGTCTCTTTATTAACACAAGGACAAGATAAGCTGGAAATAGAAAGCAATAGTAATTTTGACATGTGAACAAAGAGGAGAATACTATCCATAGGGGTCAGAGATACTGTTTAATTACAAACCTAATGTTATAATGCATATAGAAGACAAATTCATATGATGGAAAGATGGCCGTGACATGATTCTGTTGTACTTGGCAAGAACCAGCAGTCAGCTTGGCCTCCAGGATATAGGAATTACCATGATGTTATACGGTAAGTTTGGAAGTGAAGCATCTTCATTTGAAATGCTTGTCGGTTGTAGAAAGCATCTTGCAGACTTGGAAAGGTTTGTGTCTTTCCAAAGGGTCTCATTTTAGGTTTTGTGCTCAGCCTCCTCCTGGTTTTTCCATACTGTCTCAGAGGAACAGAAGGAAGAAAACAGGGATAGAAACAGGAGAGATTTCTGAGAGGGATTTGCTCTCTTTCTGAGACCCTCCCTTCTCACCCTACCTGGGCAAAGCAGTAAGGTGTTAAAGCTGGGTTTCAGGATGTTATTATTCTGTAGCTGAAGTGAACTGCTAACGTAGGGGATGGTAACAGGAAGTAAAACTGGAGTGGATCGTGCAAGTCAGAGGCAATTTCACCCCTCAGAGAGATGTTGCATAAGCTCAACCCGAAGAGCTGACTTGTCCAGCTAAATTCAACATGAGAGCGAGCTTGCTGTGTCCCTTACATGATGCAAGAGAGAGCTTGGAAAATGGCATTAGATTGCCTCTGTGCCTTTCTTCTCCTTCATGCTTGTCAGCCTCCAGAGAGAAGCTATCCATCTTTAAATACCCTGAAAGTTCTTTCACCTGCTCATTGCTCTTGAGACTTCATCCCACTAAACTGCTCTTTCCTAATGCTGTTGTGTATGAATGGTGCGAATCTATTGTGATGCATGGGAAGGAAGACAAGAAGTGGGATTCTCCCCTCTTGAGCAAAGCCCTTAAGCAGCTCTGTGCTCTGTTGGCTTCACAGACTATTTCTGTGTTTGCAATTTGCAGATGTGCCCTGTTGAATCAATGCTTCAAACAGTGCCTGTGCAAGCAGCAGCAAATGAACTTCCCTGACTTCTGTAGAATAGCAGAAACATCCTCCTATGGTTTTTAATAAGCTGAGCAGCTCTGGAGGAGGAGGATGTCCTCCAGAGCTGAACACATTTGATGTGTACAAGGTGGGGAACCATATATTCAAGTTGTGCAGCATGGCAAACAGGGATGTGGGTACCTGTGCTCTCCTTGTCCTGAAACGTATCCCAAAGAGAGACTTGATTTACTGAGTGTATTGAGCTGTTCTGAAAGTAACAGAGAACCTTTTCCAGAACTGTCATCTCTGAAAATGATCTCAGTTTCCCTGCTGTTCCACAAGCGTATGCAGGACAATGAACTGTGGGAATGGAAGCATAATAGACCCGCTCTTTGCTGTAATGAACATTCAAATACAAGTCTGCCTCTCTGATGTGAGTTGAAATAGCTCACATAGATATGTCCACCCACATGAATATTCAGTATATCCTCTACACTCTGTACTTCGAAAAATATTAACTAATACTCCACAAGAAGCATTTGCAACCTGTAAACACACTCTTTGTGCACAAATAACCATTCACATTTATAGAATGAGCCCAGTAAACAAGCTAAAAATACATATTCAAAATACTGAATGACTGCATCTGCTTTATAACTATCACCGAGAAGCTGGATGATCTTTCAGGTAATTTAAGTCACTTAATTTCAGCTGTGTTTTTCTGTCCTGCAATCACCAGTGAGGGCTTTCCAGTGGAACAAAAGCTACATTTCTTATTCTCTATTTTTCTCCTTCTAATAGGATAGTTGGGAAACACCTTTCTAATGCAGAAGAGGTAATGAGCTGTGAATGGAGGCAGGGAGAGCTGCTTGCAGTAACTCTGCTCTGTGATTCTGCATGGGGTTTTTGGAGGGTTTAGGGACAGGAGTGGAGGGAGCTGCATTTCCTTGCATCGGTTCCTTTCCCAGGGCTGGCTGTTGAACTGGTGTGGTCCTGTGCAATGCCACTAGTGCTGATCTATGTGCCTTGGATACTTTTTTCTCCTCCATGAGTTACCATACACCTATTAAGCCTATTCATTCTGACTAAAGTATGTTTCTTAAACTAATCTGAAGATGCCTAGACATGAAAAATACAGTGTTTTGCCTTGGTAGTTCGTTCCATGGGTTAATCAACGTGACTGTTAGAAATGGACCTTTAGTTTTCATTTTAATTTGCTGGCTTTAACTTCCACTTATTGCAAGACCTGTCACTCATTGTTTTCTCTTTCTTGTTATTACAAATATATAGGATCTTTAAGGTCCCTTCCAACCCAGTCCATTCTGTGAATCTATGATATATCTCCATGACAGACGGTGCATCATGAAGCTGAGGTAAGAGGGAATGATATTTATACTGAAGTCATTAATACCCCATGACAAGCTCTGTGCAGTGCCAGCCGTATCTGCTGCAATATATGAGAGGCATGTGGCCAGGATGTGTTAAGCAGCAGTTTGGCAGATGATGGAGACGACACTTAATTAAGTTCCAGGGAAATTAGGCAAGCTTTCAGTCCATGCATGAAAGTGCAGTTTCCATTCCAAGGCGAGTGAAACAGTCTGAGTCTTTTGACTGACACTAGGCAGGACTTATTTCCAGGGGTGCCTGGTCATTTAGATGGATGTGGGAAAGAGAAGGACCTAGCTGTTGGCATATAGAAGAGGTCAAGGGCACATTCCGATTTCATTTAGGGTGGTTGTACTCTCTCTGGGAAATGGGGTGATGTTCCAGTGGAGCCCAGTGGGTCCGCCCAGACCACAGCTCAGTTCTTCAGTAGCAGTGGTTGTGCTTTCAGGGAAGGGAGGGCTGCATTTTCAGACTTCATTCCAGAGCCACTGTAGCTTTGCCACTGGTTTAGCAAGCACTGAAGGTCATTGGTATAAGCAAACACAGGCTTTAGCTCAGTGGGGTGATCTGAATTGGGGTGGGGGGGTGCACCAGCCTGGTTTTATTGCTTGGTGATGTTAGAACCAGGAGTTGGAGCAGTAAAAATGTTGGAAAGCTCTGCTTTTATTCACAAAGGGTTTGAACCATAGGAAAGAGAAGAAAATCAATGCTTTCTCCTTACCTGTGTGTAGAAACAAGGTGATTGGTGTGTGTCATAATCATAGCGTGAGATTTGCTATTCTCTAGGTATCCATTCGAAAGTAGACTGGCTTTGTGCATGCCTGATGTAGAGCCACTCTTTCTGCTTCTGCTACCCAGAGGGGGCAGGTGCAGCAAAAAGCTGAGTCTTTAAATGAACACTCACATACTGTAAAGAACAGTGGGCAAGGAGGAGAGGAAACACCACAGCTGAGCTATCTAAAGAGGGTTTTATTTGCCAAAGAGGATGGCAGAGTGTCTCCTGAATGAAGCAGCGGCCAGTTTGTTCACAGCAATAGCAGGAAGGGATAGTGAGGAGACCCCATTGATACCCAGGGCATGTGGAGTGGCTGTGGCACTTGAATTTAATACCAAATAGTGCAAGTTATTTAAGGAAGGGTGATTCAAAATTGAAAGAACTCCATTCTTCAAGCCTCATCTTGTAACTGAAATATACATACAGCTCCTCAACCAGCATATAGCCATTGCAGGAATATCTCAAGTACGTCATGCCTTTTGCAGTTAAAGTGTGCAAATTCAGCAAGGCTAGCCTGCATTTTCTGAGTGGAAATCCATCCATTTGGACCCATTACTCTTTCAATATATTTTCCTTTAAGGCACTTTCAATCAGATGGAATGAAACTGTGTTTTTATAGTATGCGCAAACAGCAACTACAGGCTCCGCTCAGAAGCCACTGAAATCATGATTGATGAAAGGTTTTGGGGTTCATGTCAGAAAATCCCACTGTTAAAACAGGGTTTAATTTTACCTTGATCCTCAAGCCCTGCATGGATTAGAGCTCCCAAACCTAGATGTAGGTAAAGGCAAAAGTTGATACAAGATTCTATGAATATGTTTCTGTCCCATAAATGAAGCAAATGCTTCCCTCTTCCCACCTTTGTTACCCAAATATCCAGTAGTGCCTACAAATCCTTGTGTACAGTTCAGTGAGTGGTGAGACCGACATGGCTGTTCCAACTGCCTGAACGTGGGAGAAAACCACTATAGGACATCATAGAAATAGCCTGGTGAGAGTCAGGATGACAACTACAACCCTCCATGTTTATACAGGTTCATCACTGAATGAGAAAAAACCTCAGAGTAACAGGAAAATTAATGATGGTAAAAGCTATTCAGCATTCCCCCCCCCCCCCCCCCCCCCAGTTTGTTCCTGGTTGTTCCATCATGTGTCCATCATTGCCATGCCAAGCAAATGAGCAGTACAATCACTACTGGATCCGTGCCCCATCTGCTGCCCTCCCATACGGTAGCAGAGCTCAGCTGTTTCTCTTCCTCCCAGAATAGAAAGAGGAGAGGCAGATGCCAGGTGCAGGCAGGGAAAGTCATTGCCTGATGGACCCGAGGAGGAAGGCCAGGAGGGGTTTGTCCTTCCAGAACAAAACTCCTCTCATTGCCAAGCTGAATAAAGAGACCGTGGGGCTCCAGCAGTGATGGGGAGAGGAGCAGGACCAGGACCCAGATCCAGATCTCACAGGGCAGTTGGAACAAGTCTTTTATAGCAAAGACTCTTTCCCCCCCACATTTAATTTCACGATGTCAGGTTGTATTGAATCATAGCTCCCTCCTGCCCTGTGCCTCCCCTGCCTGGTTTTATTTACCCATCTGCTTTCAGCCTTCTTGCAGCGAGGTTGCAAGCTGTTGTGCCTGCAGAGTTGTGAGCGCAGCAGGGCTGAGTCTTGCAACACACGTACTAGAGGAGCATAACAATGAACTGAATGAAT